CATTGAAATGACACACAATTAGCGAATACTTTATAGTGTAATTTAAAAGTGTGTTAGATTCTTGGCGTTCACTACACTTGAATTTTGGTTAATGAATAGAAATGATGGGATTTGGTTTTATTCGTTAGCTAATTTGATAACAACACCTCTCCTCTCTTTGAAAAACAACAGATATTAACGGGCCTTTAAAAATTAAATTGGGCTTAATTATTGGGCCCATTAAGTAGAAACGGAAAAATAAAAAATGGTCGTTACAAAAACAAGTCGGCGATCGATCTCATGAAATGTGTCGGAGTTCTCAGACTCACTATTCGAAGGAGTCACAGAGAAAAGAAAGGAAAAATAATAATAATGAGAACTTAGAGAATTCATCAGCTTCTTCTTCTTCCATAGTTTCGTTGCTCTTTGAAATCTCTAGAAATTGTCTCTAATTTAGTAGCTTTTGTAAAAACCCTAGTGGAAATTCTACTTGTTTTTGACCTAGTCTGTTACTCGTCGGTGATCGGCGGAGCTCCTCCGACGTCTCCGCCGTGTAAATTTGTTTCGCTTGTGTGGTTTTCAGCTCTTTTTTTCACCATGAGTCCAATTCAGAATTTCGACCAACACTCTCGTCGTCTCGTAGATCCTGACCTACGTAAAATTTCTCTCCAGTTTCCTTTGATTTTTTTGAGATATTCATGATTCTCAAATTCTAAGTCTTTTTTAATTTTCGAATTTTGTGTGTTTGTAGCTCTTCAAACAAGGCTTGAGATGGTGGTGGAGGTCAGGGACAGTCTAGAGATAGCTCATACGGCTGAGTACTTGAATTTTTTGAAATGCTACTTCCCAGCATTCTCAATGATTCTTCTACAAATTACAAAACCGCAGTTTATCGATAATCCGGAGCATAAATTGCGGAACATTGTGGTTGAGATCCTCAATCGTCTTCCCCACAGTGAGGTTCTTCGTCCTTTTGTTCAGGACCTTTTGAAGGTTGCAATGCAGGTGCTCACGACGGATAACGAAGAAAACGGGTTGATTTGCATTCGTATTATCTTTGACCTGCTTAGGAATTTTAGGCCTACACTAGAGAACGAGGTTCAACCATTTTTAGACTTTGTCTGCAAGATCTATCATATATTCAGATTCACTGTCGGCCATTTTTTCGATAATGTTAAAATGGAAGAGGTGAAGCCTATGGAAACGTCTACGTCTTCTGATCAGTCCCTTACCCCTACCGCACCTATTGGGAATGGGCAGCTTAATCCGAGTACTCGGTCATTCAAGATAATCACAGAGAGCCCTCTTGTTGTTATGTTCCTTTTCCAGCTGTATAGTCGACTCGTTCAGACTAACATACCTCATTTGCTTCCCCTGATGGTTGCTGCTATATCTGTCCCTGGACCTGAAAATGTCCCTTTGCATTTGAAGCCTCAGTTCATAGAATTGAAGGGTGCACAAGTTAAGGTGAGACAATGGCTCTCGTCAGGATGGAACGCAAACCTTTCTGCCATGTTGAAATATGATTATATCAAGGCCTACACAGACTCATTGTTTCATAATTAATTGTATTGTTCGTAACGGGCCATGGCATGGTAAATTGACTTGTGTTTTTTGGTTTATTTGCAGACGGTTTCTTTTTTGACGTATTTGTTAAAAAGTTGCGCCGAATATATCCGGCCACATGAAGAAAGCATATGCAAAAGCATTGTAAATTTGCTTGTGACCTGTTCAGATTCTGCATCTATCAGAAAGGTGGAAAACCTTTTTTCCTTTTCTTCAGTATGTTTTCTTTGGGTGACACAATTAATGGATTGCAGCGAAAGATTTATTTTTCATTACTTGAAATGCAGGAACTCTTAGTCTCCTTAAAACATGTTCTTGGGACGGATTTCAAGAGAGGCTTATTTCCTCTTATTGACACTCTTTTAGATGAGAGGTACGAGGCTTATGAAGCACATCTGAAATTAAAAAGTTTCATATTTTTTTCCAAGGAGCTGTTTTGTTTAACCGAGCACACCTTTTGTTCGTCTTTATAATCTATCAAACTGAAGAATCTATAAACAAATATTGACTTTTTTCAGGTATTCTTTTTTGTCTTCTGTAACAGGGTTCTGGTTGGAACTGGGCGAGCTTGTTTTGAGTCTTTGAGGCCTTTGGCTTACAGCCTACTTGCGGAGATTGTTCACCATGTTCGCGGAGATCTTTCTCTTTCTCAGGTTTTTACTGACGAAGAGCTTTAAACTGAGTTTAACGTTGATCTTGACAGCCTGGATTCTATATAAGCGAAATTACTTAGTTACAATATGCAATTATTTCTCTGTGCGAGGAAAATCTTGGGAATGTAAAATATTGATAAATCTTTCTTTTCACCATCAGGCTTTCCTTTTACAACATCTTTTTGCTGTGGTAGTGTGCTTTCCTTTACATTACTCTGAATTGACTATAAAAAACGTCACAGTTATCGCGGATTATCTACCTGTTTTCAAGAAACATGCATGACTCTACCCTCTCCCTTAGCATCCATACAACATGTGCCCGGCTGATGCTTAATCTGGTAATTCTATTTTCTCCACCGTGCTTGTCTTGTTTCATTTGATAAACTACTTAAAATATGCATACTAGTATATTTACTTCTCTGAATTCAATTCATACTTGTGTTGGATTCAGGTAGAACCAATATTTGAGAAAGGTGTTGATCAGCAGTCAATGGACGAAGCACGAGTTTTACTGGTAAAGCTCATTTTAGAATTGGTTAGCTTTTCTATCCATTAACTTACTCATGCAACACCTGTATATAGGGACGTATACTGGATGCCTTTGTTGGGAAATTCAGTACTTTCAAGCGTACTATTCCTCAGGTAATCCTGGTTGCTTTTCAAAATCGAATGTTGTGCTCAGGAGTTTACCATTTTTGGCTTGGTTTTCTACTATATACTGATGATTTAGTGTTATGTAAGTTTCAAAACCTAGCTATACTTTTTTTTTTCCTCCCCTTCTAGTGGTTGAGATTGGGAAAGATGTGTATTTATTATTGAGCTGATCAATTAATCTTCAGAGGCAGTTTGCAAGCTGCATTTGCTTTCTTGTTATCTCTTTGAATTCCCAGATGATTTTTAAGAATAGCTGTAAAATGTATTCTTGTTATCCCTTTGAATATGTTATTTCTGATATTTTAATGTTACCATTTAATGTGGTTAAAAAGAGGGTAGCTTGAACCTTGAGCTGATTCTTTTCTCAACGCCATTAATTTAGTTAATGTTTTACTCATTCCTGCCTTGTGATTCATAGCTTTTGGAGGAGGGTGAGGTGGGAAAGGATCGGGTCACTTTGAGGTCAAAGCTTGAACTTCCTGTCCAGGTAATTTCTGTGATGTGATTTATTGAGTAACCCGAATTATCAGCCAATGTGATGTCATCTTGCACATATTTATATTTCAAACTTAATTGCTGTTTTGTTGCTCTCATATTTTCTTACCTTTCGTTTTCAAGTTGGATTGTAAGCGGTATTATAATTCCGCGTTGGATTCTTAGATTTTACACCAGGCTTTTTGTCTCTTTACATAAGTGTGCATTCTTATTGATAAGTTCTGATAGTTTGTTTGTATCAACAAATTGATTATCTAGAAGCTTTTATTAATTGCTAGACCACGCTGGTTGCAGGCAGTTTTGAATTTGCAGGTTCCTGTCGAACATTCCAAAGAAGTGAATGATTGTAAGAATTTGATCAAGACACTGGTCATGGGTACTGAATCTTGGCTGAAGTATCTTTTTCCATTGATTATGATTCTATACTTGTAGATCAATATTTTTGTTTGTTTCTGCTTTGTGCTCAGGAATGAAAACAATAATATGGAGTATAACCCATGCCCATTTGCCTCGACCTCAGGTTTCATATTAGCTTATTTTCAATTGTCTCTTGTATATCAGTGATCTATAATTTTGCCATGCAAGTTTATTAATTGTGAAGGTTTCTCCTTCTGCCCAGGGGATGAACCCTCAAGCTCTTGCTTCACAATCATCTGCTCCTCAGGGATTTAAAGGAATGAGAGAAGATGAGGTATTGCTTGTGAGATTGTTTAGTTTAGTCATTAATAGTGCATGGATGATAAACCTCTAGTAACCTCTGCCTTTAAGCAGGTGTGGAAGGCCTCTGGTGTTTTAAGGAGTGGTGTCCATTGCTTAGCTCTCTTCAAAGAAAAGGATGAGGAGAAGGAAATGCTTAATCTTTTCTCGCAGATTCTTGCTATTATGGAACCTCGAGATCTAATGGACATGTTCTCTTTATGCATGCCAGAGCTTTTTGAGAGCATGATTAATAATAACCAACTGGTTCAGATATTTGCAGCACTTCTGCAAGCTCCCAAAGTTTACAAGCCCTTTGCAGATGTTTTGATTAATTTACTAGTAAGCAGCAAACTTGATGTCCTGAAGAATCCAGATTCAGCTGCAACTAAACTAGTGTTGCATCTGTTTAGATGCATCTTTGGGGCTGTTACCAAAACACCATCTGATTTTGAAAGAATATTACAGCACCACGTGCCTGTTATTATGGAAGTCTGCATGAAGAATGCTACTGAAGTTGAAAAACCTCTTGGTTATATGCAATTGCTCCGCACAGTGTTCAGAGGTCTCGCTGGATGTAAATATGAGCTGCTTTTGAGAGATTTGATCCCCATGCTGCTACCTTGTCTTAATATTCTGCTGACAATGCTTGAGGGTCCAGCTGGGGAGGACATGAAAGACCTTCTGTTAGAGCTTTGTTTGACACTTCCTGCACGCTTAAGCTCCCTATTGCCATACCTTCCACGTCTCATGAAGCCTCTTGTATTCTGTTTAAGGGGAAGCGATGAACTTGTGAGCTTGGGGTTACGCACCCTTGAATTTTGGGTGGATAGTCTGAATCCTGATTTTCTGGAACCTAGCATGGCGAATGTGATGTCTGAAGTGATCTTAGCATTGTGGTCTCACTTG